TTTTTTTCTAATTGTATATTTTTATTGGTTAATGTAAATTTTTTAAAAGATTTCTTCTTACTATATGAACGATGTTAAATTGGATATACTATTTTGTTAATATGTATTATACTTGTTTATGTATATGTCTATGTTCACCTCTGTAAATATGATATGCTCTTCAATATTGGAGGAAATAAAAGTATCTATGATGGTGACAATGTTTTTTTTGTGTATATCACTGTGTTGCTTCTTTTATGACAAATTATTACAAATCAAACGATGAATTATTCACGTGATAGGCACCTTACATGTTGTTAAATAACAAGACACAGGTTTGCCCTGTCTTCATATGACAATAACATTAATCTTTCAGCCTTTATGTGATTATATCACTCATCCGAATGGCATATTACGTATATATTTTTATTTACAAAATTTGTACTTTTTCTTTAAAACGCAAAAGTGTTCAGGAAAAAAGCGAAAGCTTCCCAAGTCGGGAGCTTTCCCAGCAATGAACAACGCCCCCGTAAAATGTTGTAAAATGTCAATTGTTCTTTAAAATATTTACCCCTGTTTTTTCATGTATTTAACCCGATTACTATGATGCTAAAAAATTAATGTTCTTTTAAATCTAATTAGTTAACCCTGAAAACAGGTTATAAAATAGATACACGGAAATCTTTCTATTTAATATATACGTCTGTGACAATATACACACACCAAATAACGAATAACAACTACTGTAATACATGGAAAAAAACAACCTTAGATAGGAAGCTATTCTTTATCAACATTTCTAAGGAATAATTGAATATAGAAAAATAAAAGCACTTACGCAAAATGGGTCACGTGTTCGTGCTTTCTTGTATGAAAATGAATCGTTTACTAGAATCAAAATTAACCCATTTCACCGAGAAACAGTTGTTGTAGAGAACAGGTCTGGGCTTTATAGACAAAACTAATTACTTCATTAAAATTGATGCTAACCATGTATTGTAATTACAGCGTATGTGCACGAACCGAATATCCTTATTACAGTAATGGGTACATAGCGGTGGTCCGAAATACGTGGCTGCAATGTTGTTAAACTAACATAAACTCATTTTGAAAATAAAGCATAAGTTCCCTCTTTTACGCCAGTTCAGTCACCATAATTAATTCCGATATCAAATTCTTTTATATTTAATTACAAATATACATGCAATACTGCTAAGCTGTAAAAGGTCATGGAATGTGCAGGTTCATCTAATGAAGTATCTTATATATTTATGAAAAATATAGTTTTGAAAGTTTATTTCAATTAGTCAAACAGCATGTAGCATGATATCGCTGATAAAATTCGTGCATATTTGCTTTTTGACAAGAACAAATTTCAACATGTTACAGTAATCTTGATGCTTTATTATTACATTTAGGATAATCCATTTGACGTTCAATATTTCAGATGAATAATTAGATCGTAGTATAAAAAGACTGCATTTTACCCCCTTACTTTTATCATTATTGAATGATTTCAGTTATTATGTAACCACATAATATAATAATAATAATTAAGAAAAATATATATATAATAATATGGAAAAAATCGGATATCACCAAAATACATTTACATAGAAAATCAAAATATTTTGGATTCGTGGAACCCACTACCGTTTCCCGTATGCTGCAAAGTAACATTTGATTAACGTGTAATTAGATTATGATTATATAATCAACTTGAAGCAAGCATTTAATATTATTAATGAACAAACGTTCAGTCATTAAGACGAAGCTCTTTAATACTATTTTATCTCGTCTGCTGCTGTTTTTCCTGCCACAAATTGAGTTATATAAAGTGTAGGGTTACATAAATAACAAAACAAGTTCGTAATCCCATCCAAAATGGAGCAAGTTGTTGTCAAAATAAAAGCCATGTGGTTTGACTTACCATATGTAAAAGTGGGTGAATGTGTACATGATATGTTACAAAATGCAATGTCTGTATCAACGTTTCATATGAGTGCTTTGCCACTATCATCGCTTATGCAACTGCTATAAACACCTTGAAGTAAATAAACATGATAATTACATTTTATAAAAAACACTTCATCTAGTTGGTCTATTATTTAGTATTAGTTTTTGTAACGGTTCTCTATGCGTTTAAGGTTTACAAATATTTAATACACAAAATTAAAACATTCAATAAGATAATATTATAGAAGTTTTATAATGTATGTATAATATCATAGAAATGTTATACACTGACCGACTTTGAAAACGCATCGGTTGGGTGTTTGCTTTTTTATAAGGAAGAGCATATTCGATTTTAAAAAAATGCATATTGAAGGACACATGTGACAGTTAAAAAATGTTACTGTCACTGCGTCTATTCGAAAACGCATGGTAACCCGCATTCACAAAAGTCACAACCGACCTATTAGACAACACTTCAGAAATGGTCAATATGACTTCCAACAGGATAATGCTCCGGCTTACAGAGCTGTCAGAACAGCTTCATTTCTTCAGAGAAGTCAAATTAATGTGCTGGACTGACCAGCGATGTCGCCCAACATGTCACCGATTTGACATGTATGGGATGATTTAGGCCGTAGAGTCTGTACAAGTTTACCCTCTCAACAAAATGTAACATAACTTCAACAAGTCTTAGAGCAATAATGGAATAATATTCCAAAACAGTAATTGCTGCAATAATTATGTCAATGAAACAAAGGTGTCTTGCTTGCATTCAGGCTAATGGGTCATACACGAGATACTGAATGCCTTAATATACTTAATTATAAAAAATATAAAAAATAAAACAAAAAACACAGTCCATGAGTTAACTTATTTAATAATTTGCCAACCGGTTTCTCTTATGATCATCACATTTGCCCTGATATATCATAGAAATGTTATATTATATGTATAGTTCTAATATCATAGATATGTTATATTATATGTATAGTTCTAATATCATAGATATGTTATATTATATGTATAGTTCTAATATCATAGATATGTTATATTATATGTATAGTTCTAATATCATAGATATGTTATATTATATGTATAGTTCTAATATCATAGATATGTTATATTATATGTATAGTTCTAATATCATAGATATGTTATATTATATGTATAGTTCTAATATCATAGATATGTTATATTATATGTATAATATTATTGAAACTGTTATATTATATGTATAATAGTATAAGGTAAAGGTAAAAGTTGAGTACAGGAGACCTAAACAGGATCACTACTTGCTTAGGTCACGCACAAATTCCTATGACACTTACCTGCGCATGATGTAATTTCAATTGACGCGTGCGTTAATATTTCACACCACTTAATCACATTTTCCTTTGGTTGAAAGACCCATATATGATATTCATTCGAACTGATAAACAGTCCTGCAAGTCTCTATAAAAATGCTTTAAATTAAAAACACGTATTTGTCGTAATATATATTGATCTGTAATGGAAAATAGTCAAAACTAACATTATTGTGTGATTCTTTTCCTTTGAATAGTGCATTTTAATTTTATGTGATGCAAAATATGATGAAAGCTGCACGTTTGTAGATTTTCCAAACCACAGTAACCATTGTTGGCAATTTGTGATCTTGTAAATATTCAGTGTTATTATGAGGAACGTACAAACATAGGCAAAAATGGAACGAAGTCTATTTAAACAATCATCTTACAGGACCCAATTTATGGAAATGTCTTGACTTTCTAATTAAAGTAATACAAATTATGTTTATACTGCGAATTAACGGTAGCCGTTTACGACAGTAAGGGAAGTGTTGTCAATTACCCGAGACTGCCAGCCATCGTTTGAATTTTTTCTTCCATATTTATATTATCATATCAATAAAGTTCGAATAGAATTCACAAAACCATGTAATTTTCGCATTATTTTCTTGGAAGCATTCATAATGGCGGAACTACGTCATCTTTATATATTTAAAAAGGAGGGAGACTAAAAAAAGGATTGGAGCACCACACTAAATACCGCATTCCAGTACATATCGGACAAGGCGCTTGAATGATAAAATGCTAAAATCTTGCCTTTTCACCCAACAGAATGAGCTTTAAAAGGTCTAATTCATCTTTTCACACCGATTTATGTACTACGATAGTGAATAAAAAATGTAATAATCGGCAAAAAACGATATTTGTCTATTTTGTGATCATGATTTCTGCAAGCGTCTAGAGGTACTGCTCCAATCCTGTATTGAAAGGCGATGGAATGACGTCATTTTAAATGTAGCGGATCTCCAATTATCAATAATGCATTAATATCCATGATCGAAATACATGTATATATGTTCATAAAACCCACTGTGTTGTGAAAACATAGCGGTATACTGGCCACCTTGATCCTGCCATATGTTTACAAACTGTTTACATATACAGCGCTGTTCTCTAGCTGGGATTGTTTGTAATTGAGCTTTAGCATTGTAGTCATAACTCCAATCATAGTACCTTATGTCGTTACCGATAATATTCTTCATTCAGACGGTTTTTACCAACCGACTGCTAACGTGTGGCTACGGAATTTATTAACCATCGCTCTCTTAGCATGTGACTCACTGTTAAGTATTACAGAAGCAAAATTTTCCCCGTCACTTTCATTTGTATTCTTGTTTTTTTTCTCCTCTGCATTTTTCTTCTAGTCTTTACGTCTAATTATCTAAGTGCTGGAAGAAGCTTAAATCAATGGGTGGGGTACAATGTAATTAAATTAAAGAACGAAAACATATGACTATGACTCTTGTCATAAATGAAAAAGAAAAATAGTTGTCATTGTTATATGCCAGTAAATTATTGCAGTAACATCTCATTTTCATATATTTACGTTAAGGAAGTTCTCTACTGTTACAAACATACACTTAGGCAAAATGAAATACAAAATTGAACTTTGCATGGTCTTAGAATATGGTACATATAATTAATTACTTAGTCATCATATGTTTACGCCTACATTATAAAATATTACAATTACATACATATTTTGTTTATTTTTTTCAGGATTCCAGTGTCTTCCAGTGTTAGCAGTAATTTTTCATCTAGCAACTACATCAGAATGTAAGCAGGTTTAACCAATTTTATTCTCTACTCTTTATTATCACAACATGCTTGTTGCATAACATCCTATAAACTTTATGTCTAACATCAAGTTAAAATTGGTAAAATGGTTCCAGTATTCTATAAACTTTAAAGTCAAGTTGTTTTAACCAGTCAAAGAACAAAATTATTAAGAAAAATAAAGCATGACGTTTTTTTTTGTTTGTTTTTTTATGCTGTCAGTATCAATAAATACATGTACACATACATATGAAAACACTTGAAAGGGTCCAGCAGTATCCCCAGTACACCTACAAACTCAATAATTGTAAAACTAATAACAGTTTCATCTGTGACACAAACCCTCTTAGCAACAACCATCTCTCTACAATAGCCAATTTTGTAAATTTCTTTAATATCTCATATACGATCACCAAAATCATTATCATTATATCTATACACTTGATATAACGTGAATCTTTATTACAGTGCTAGCTTTAGTCATAGATCATATCTCGGCAATATGCTTGAAAAGAAAATGATAAAGCTTGAACAAGATGATTTACATGTTAAATGACTTGACGTATCTGCAGCATTAGTTTTCCATGGTGTTTCTTTATTCGCATAATGCAACATTAGTTCTTGATCGTGTTGGATAACTTAGATAACACCACTACTGCTGTTTAACAGTCTAGATCACAATGTGTGATACTTCATGTTTTGAAAGATCATTCACTAGATTTTCGTGCTGATGAAAATGTTTGATAGAAGGATTTACATTTTCTCTTATGTATAATTTAGTTTCCGTTATCTTGTTTATAGATGCGGGTTATTACCGTAAGTTTTAGTGGTAATTTTCACTGGCTTATATGAAAAAATATCACATAAAGATAAAAGGAAAAGAAAAAAAAAACAAACAAACAAAAAAAAAAAAACAATACTTGGTAAGTCCGTTCTTTCGTTTGTCCACACTTTTCTTTGTCATTCATGATCTTTTTAAATGCATATTGAGCCGATGTTAAGTCCGCTAGATCCATATATGTAGCTCAAAGATCAAGGACACACTTTTCTTATAAATGTTTGTGTACGGTCAACAATTTTGCCATATACCTATACCTTATACTGTATGATATTTTCATAAAAATACATTGATGGTTTTATCCGATCATCAATTCTGTCATTCCTGGATGTTTGGCAAGTAGACAGAAGCAGTTAGCAGCAAAAAGAAACGCGAAGTAAGCAGTAGCAGTAGCAAAATTATATAACGTGAAATTGGCAGTAGCAGCAGCAAGATTATAAAAGTAGCAGTAGCAAAATTATTTAACGTGAAATTGGCAGTAGCAGTAGCAGCAGCAATATTATAAAAATAGCAGTAGCAAAATTATATCAAAGCACAGAAAGCGCTGAATTTGTTTGGGCCTCAGAATGTCAGAAAGGTGAAGGTTGTGAGATTTTAAACCAATTTGTTTGTATAGTGTCACCAATGCTGTTTCCAGTGTTGTAAATTATACTAAATATAGTAAATTGGCTATAAGACTAATTGCAACACTGCACTGATATTCAATTCAATGTTTATTTGGCTTAAAAAAAGTAGCCTGAACTGGAATTTGAACTCCAGACCTATCGCTTCCAAAGCGAGCGTGTAAACCCCTCGACCACGGGGGCTATAAGATAACAGTCTGACGAATACCATGTTATTCTAAATTAGAGTTCGAAACCGTTATTAATTTCGATATATTTTGTTCACAATAAACCTTTTGATTAACACTGAAGTAAATAATCATGGAGCTGAATGTAAGCATGTATATCTATAAGAATAACACAATATTAGAAATCTTCGACCAATTGGGAACTATTTTTTCGTTACGAAAATAAATGCGCCTGTCATTTGACAATCTTTACGCAGTGATCTCCCCTTAATTTTTCGGCGTTAATGTACATATGAAGGGAAGTAACCGCTTCGAGGAGTTTGGACTACTTTCGGCATTTGCAAATAAGAACATCAGGGTCTGAAATTTGGCTACCATTATTTGTTTGGTCTGACGACCTAAACAAATAAAAACTTCAAATTGGCAATAGAAGAGTAGCAGTAGTAGTAGCAGCAGAGCAGTAGCAGTAGTACAGCAGTAGCATTAGTACAGCAGTAGCAGTAGCGCAGCAGTAGCACAGGAGTAGCAGTAGCAAAATTATAAAACGTGACATTGGCAGTAGCAGAAGCAAAGCAGTAGCAATAGTACAGCAGTAGCAGTAGCACAGCAGTAGCAGTAGCAAAATTTTAAAACGTGAAGTTGGCAGTAGCACAGCAGTAACAGTAGCAAAATTATAAAACGTGAAGTTGGCAGTAGCAGTAGCACAGCAGTAGCAGAATTATAAAACGTGAAGTTGGTAGTAGCAGTAGCACAAGAGTAGCAGTAGCAAAATTATAAAACTTGAAGTTGGCAATAGCAGAAGCACAGCAATAGCAGTAGCAAAATTATAAAACATGAAATTGGCAGTAGCAGTAGATCATCAGTAGCAGTAGCACATCAGTAGCAGTAGCGCAGCATTTGTTCGTCAATCATCTTGGTCTTCATTTGTGTATAACTTTTGTATTTGAGTGTAGGTTTTGAATTAATTATGTATTAATATGCTGCTTATTAAGACACAACAAGTTTCGGTTCAGCAGTCAAAATGTCAAAGGTCGTACTTGAACGTCAAAAGTTATGAGTGCATTGATGATCATGGTAAATCTATAACCAGCCATTCATTGGCACAATTTATAATCACTTGGCTCGAATATGTGGAACTTTAAAACAATTTATGATAAGCAAGACCAAGTGTGTATGTTTGTTATATGAACTTGGTTAGAATAATTATTTTTTGTAAATCGTTATTTATAGAAATGCATATTTTGCCATACTTTAAAAAAAGACTCAACTTGAATTTTCCTTTTGTTTATTATCTATAACTCCAAACATTCTCTTCAATCCATCCGTAAAAATGAATATACACCCAGTTATAGGAACTATATTTTAAGAGGCGTATTAATTTGTCAGCAATTCTTTTACAATAATAATTGCAAAAGTTTAATTGGCGTTTGGGTTAATCTTTTACCAATCAAGTTTGGTATAAAGTTTTTATCCTGCCAATGAACACACATAAATCTTAATAGTGGGAGTTCGGTTGGCATTAAACATGCTTTCTTTACTATCAATTTATAGTATGTAACCGTTGAAACACGTGCTTGAAAACCCAAATTTTCGTGTTTAAAATTGACGATCAGCCAAAAGATATAGTTCGTTTAGCACGTGTTAATCTTATAATTTCTGTGTCTAGATCAGAAGAATTTCTGTAATTGCAGACGACAGGTGGTTTCGTATGATAAGTTTGCGAAACATAATAACAACAGTTATTAATCAGCCAAGTTTCATTCATAAATTTAGAAACGGTTAAAAGTAGTAAAAATGAACCTGTTACACACCTGGTAATTTTGATGAAATACATTTTTGTTACAGTTCAATAAATACACATCAAAATTGTCTTGTGATTCTAAAAAAAGAAATGTTCTTCTTAGTGACTTTCAAAGAAAATGATACAATGCATACTTTTTAAGTCCGTTTGTCAATTGTGGTCAGACCTTACAAATTGTATTAGCTATCTTTACATTCAAACAAACTGCCTCAACTTATCATGTATAGCCGTATGACTGAAGATGCAAAGCCGTATGACTCCGTATGACTGAAGATGTATAGCCGTATGACTGAAGATGCATTTCTGTCTTTGTAGCTTCCATAAAATGTATGTGACAATATATTTAAAATCCTTTTAAAAATGCACTAAAATTTTGAGGGAACATAAAGCCTTTAAATTTGGGATATGTAAAACAAATGCGTTATATGTAGATTTGTTGGCTATTTATCTAGGGTAGAGAAATACTTTATTAACCGCTCAAACAGAAACATTCTCTATATAAAATGTGTATCTTGTTTATAGAATGATAACGTTGATTATTTGGGCTACATTCAAGCTAATTTATGTGTCACAATTTCAAATATAAAATCTGAACATCAAGATGAAGATTCAGATACTAAAGTATTCTTCCTGACTGAGGCAATTACTTATATTTATAGATAGAATATGATAAAATGCCCGGCTTGTTTAACTTCCTGTTATCTCAACAGATTTAAAGTTGTTCCGAATATCATTGCTAATTATGATATGGAAAATATTTTGAAAACAAAAAATGTGCTGACTTGTTAGGGTCTTATCTTTTCGTAATAACGTTATCATTTCTTAAAACTTATTAAAAGCTTTTCTTTTATTTACGCACGCTTGTTCATTTAATAGGTTTGTCTTAAATTACGGTGACATTTGGCAAATATTTGGTTTAGATATTAGCAGGTGTTGTCTCAAAAATGTTTGCACCTTGTCTTCTTTTTAGATTAAAATACAACAATACTTACTGCATTAAGCATATTATTAGTAATGTCACAGTTCAGTTATATTGTGAAAGAAACTGGTCACGTTCTATACATTAAAATACATTTTCATGTTTTGCTTAATGGCGGAAAGATATCTGATATGTATAATTTCTACTTTTCAGTGGGTCCATCATTATTGACAGTGGATCCCCCTCCCATGGTAAACGACAATATTAATCCAGACTGCTACAATTTTACTCATGGAAACTATCACAATATGGAATTTTATAGCCCAGGATATCCTTCACAATACCCAAATAACATTGACTGTGTCATGTATCTTCAAGGTATGTCAACATTTTATTCCTGTCAAGTGTAGTGTAAAGAAAAATATTGACAACAATAAAACAGGTATTTCAAAATATAATTAGCAACTTCAGAAAAAACAAACATCAAACGGTTAGATTAGTCGGTCGATATTGCAATATATGTTTGTTATTGAAGATGAAAATCGTCAATATATTAGGCTTTATTACGCTGGCGGCGTCTTACGTTATTTTAAATCATTATTTTTATTGCATTTTAAGCTGATGTATTGCAACATAATTCTTAATAAATCAATAAAGACATGCATATCTGATTTTAAACACACTTAAAACACTTTAAGCCCACTTACATTACACTTCATACAGGTTAGTGATGTCTTACTTGTCTGGTAAATGTAATGATTGTGCAAGTTTTTATAAAGAATATAATTATGAGCCGCGTCACGACAAAACCAACGCAGTCTGATCAGGATTCATGCTGTTAGCTATCAGTTTCTCTACTTGTAATAGAGTTGGTAAACGAACAGCATGAATCCAGACCAGACTGCGCGGATGCGCAGGCTGGTCTAGATCCATGCTGGTCGCAAACGCACTGTGTTGGTTTTGTCATGACGCGGCTCATATTAAAAATAAATATTCATGACCTTACTTACAGGATACCGTAAGGTGTTTGAGACGTACTAAGTCTTGGACAACTATCTTCTGTAAAAAGAAAAAAATCTTTTTGATACATCATATGAGTAGTTTATCTTGTCTATCAAAGATAAATGACAGTTTCAATTATTTGTATCGCGAGAATTTGGTACGTGTATATATTCCTTGTACAATGATACAATCACTCCACCAGAGTTGAAAGCAAAATGATGACGTTAGTAAATACAAGACAAGGTATATCATAAAATCTCTCGTTGTATTTTAGAGAAATAGAGTAAAAGGAATGTTCTTGTAACGTTCTCGAAAGCACCACACACATTGTAACCTAGAACTTTGAATATTACTCTTCATTTCCACTTTTCAATAATTCTGCTAGTAGACTTTTAATAAATGAATACAATTATATTAATATTTCACCGTTTAATCAAAAGTCTGAATGAGTAATGAGGTGTTGCAAATTGTTAAAGATTTTGTATGATTGTATATTAAACACTTTCATTTTAAGCTCGACTTTTTGCAATATGTGGACGCCTGTCCTACTCATGCCGACGTTGGCGTCGGCATCTGCGTCGGCGTACATATTTCTAATTTAAAGTGTTTGTGTAGTAAAATATTTTTACTATAACTTCTTTATTTTGTAAGGTATCTTCTTCAAATTTCAAATAATATATTCCACTAATAAAAAACACATAGCATGTGACAAAAGCCATTACTCTAGAAGCAATGTTTCCAGAATTATCTCCCCTTGTACTTTTTTTTTCTTAAAAAAAATGTAACTTTTAATCGCGCTTCCTATTAATTTTATTGGTGATCTATTTCAAACTTCTAATGCATGTTCCTTATCATCAATCACATCGTCTGTTACTATGCTCATAACTCTAGGAAAAATTTTCCCCCGAACATTTTCCTAAATATGTTATCATTCCCACCATAACTGTATTTCTTAATAAACTTGTATATGCACCTTGTCATCACCCACATCATGTGTGACAAGATTCATCATCTTACCTCTACTATTTCCAAGATTATCTTCCCCTAGAGAATTTTTTTCTAAAATAACAACTCATATCAACTCCCACATCATAATTATGTAGTTTTATCGTCAATATTTCCAGAATGATCTCCCTTACCCCCCATTTGTCTTAGAATTGTCTTTATTTTTCTATAAAGTCTTTTATTTATTCAATTCTCTTATAATATACAGCAACATCTACATTATAATTATGTTATTAGATTTATAAGTCTATCACCTGTATTTCCAGAATTACAATATCTCTAATTTGAACTAATTTGCAAATTTCTTCTTCTTTTTTAATTTTGTTATTTATATTTAATATTTCCTTGTTTGTTATCTTACTTTTAAAAAGTTTTTGACAAGGTTCATAACTCTAACATATTTATTTCAAGGGTTATCACCTCTTTCAACTAAGAGTTAGAATTTTGCATAAGAAATATTACACAGCTTTTACTCTGATGAGTTCCTCATAGTCTTATCGTTTTTGTTATTAATGAAGGTATTAATGAAGGTATTTACCTCAGTTGACTGACAACATAGGAATTTCTATTTCACTTTACATGCATGCTTTTTGGTGCAAAATGTTGAACATTTTAGTGCTTTCTCGATACTTAAAGAGAAATATATTAATATCATTTATTATTTTTAATAAGTCAAGATTCTATTTCTCACGATGCTAAATTTGTATAATGGTGTAGTCCTGTTTAGTTTAAACAGATTAATTTCAAGTTTCAATTCGATTGTGTTGGAAGCTATAAGCTTATTGAAACACTTGGGACCAACCAGTACAAAGTTTCTTTCTCACGGAAATAACGGTTTGCCCTAACGGGGTTTGAACCTGCGCGGCTAACAAACCTACTTTTATACTAAAGTCCAATGCGTAAATCACTCGAGCATGCCGCCGCACATCGTTTTTAAATTTTCAACACAGGGTTTTTATTTGTTATTAAATATTTAGCAGCTAATATTATAGTCTGGTCCTATTGTAAAGCGGTGCAGATTGACTTTATTATACTTATATATGACAGTATACTGGCGGCATTTTAATGATTTTAAATAAATTTCAAAATATTTGAAGAATGATGTTTTCTATTATCATAGAAATCTTGATAAATAAAGCCCTGGATGGCACAGTTTTACCCATGCATTTACACTTCATCACATACACACTATTTACTGGTGCAAGTTCATCTATTGTTTGACATCACCTATCTTATTGCCATCGAGAGATTTCTTCACTTGTAAGAAGTGTAATTAATAACCGCCTATTACAAAGTGCGTTTTATTTCACTTTGATACAATAGTTTCCTAAAACATCAAACATGGAGTATGATAGAAGAAAGAAATTATTATGTTTCATACTAGTGACGTGTCTTAGAATTTTCTGCTTGTTAGTAGCACAAAAAGCGTTATAAACGTCATTATTCGTGTATGAAAGGAATAATCCAATTTCCTTTAATTTGGAGGCGGGTAACTTGTAGACTTAGTTATGAACTTGGGTCCTTTGATGTTAGTGCTCTGGTAAGCTTCAATCGTTACATGAAATTATGGTTTTACTGGCGAAGCAGTCTGGCTTTCGTTACCGTTTTATATCAGCCATTGATGAAATCTGGTTCTATCACAAGCTATTGAAGATGAACTTCAACGACAGAACGCCGCTTGAAAGCATTGTTTTGATTAAAAGTTATGTCTGACGCGAATAATCTGTTCTTATAGTCGTCCAAGAATCCCCTTGTTTTAAAGTTACGGCTCTCCATTTTTCTTGCTGAAACAATTATATTTGAAGTAAAATAATTTAGCTAGATTTACTTTTACTGCCTTTGTTCTGATTGAGTTTTTCTATGCCTAAGTTATCTAGGACACTCATTTACACCTAGGCTAGAAATGCCATGTTCTTTCTTATTTGCATCAAAAGAGAATAATAATTTTAAAAAAAGTGATGTGTAAATACATGAACTTTAATGAATGTACATGACATTAACCTTTGAAGTAAGGTTAGCGGAATGTGAAACTGTATTGATACGTCTAAATGTATTTAGGTTTCAAAAAACATAGCACGGGCATTATCTTTTATGTAAATTATCTGTTGTTTTATTTTATTAACCAGTTCCTACACGAAATATCATTTCTGTGATGATTGCCAATTTTGTTGCATTTTGTATTAATATTAAGATAATTGTCATACAACCAGATATAAATGTTGCCCTTTTATGTTCACAATAATTGTTAATCATTCAATGTATAGGATTGAAAGAAACTGGGACATATATTTCATTAGGCAAACGACACATGTAATATTAAGATTTATACATTTCTGTGATCTGTAAAGGCTTTAATCTCCTCATACCTTTATAATTGCAGTAAAAAGCATAATGTTCTTTTGAAGCATTAAACTATAAAATAAAAAGACACTTTTCAATTGTTTTATTGCATACAAATTTGCAACGAGTTTTGGATAATCGTCTTGGTGTCGAGACCTTCAGCCAGAATTTAATCTGTATACCCTGAATACAAATTGGCAGGGTTTTACTTTATCGGCATCCAACAGTAGCTATATCTACGATCATATGCGTAATTTTAGACTACGTCGCTTTCAACCTGGGTACACGTCCGCCCTTTCCAACATGATGTACTCCCATATTCAGATTTATTGATTACCCTACTTGCCAACATGATGTACTCCCAGTCAGATTTATTGATTACCCTACTTGCCAACATGATGTACTCCCAGTCAGATTTATTGATTACCCTACTTGCCAACATGATGTACTCCCAGTCAGATTTATTGATTACCCTACTTGCCAACATGATGTACTCCCAGTCAGATTTATTGATTACCCTACTTGCCAACATGATGTACTCCCAGTCATATTTATTGATTACCAACATGATGTACTCCCAGTCAGATTTATTGATTACCCTACTTACCAACATGATGTACTCCCAGTCAGATTTATTGATTACCCTACTTGCCAACATGATGTACTCCCAGTCAGATTTATTGATTACCCTACTTGCCAACATGATGTACTCCCAGTCAGATTTATTGATTACCCTACTTGCCAACATGATGTACTCCCAGTCATATTTATTGATTACCAACATGATGTACTCCCAGTCAGATTTATTGATTACCCTATTTGCCAACATGATGTACTTCCAGTCAGATTTATTGATTACCCTACTTGCCAACATGATGTACTCCCAGTTAGATTTATTGATTACCCTACTTGCCAACATGATGTACTCCCAGTCAGATTTATTGATTACCCTACTTGCCAACATGATGTACTCCCAGTCAGATTTATTGATTACCCTACTTGCCAACATGATGTACTTCCAGTCAGATTTATTGATTACCCTACTTGCCAACATGATGTACTCCCAGTCATATTTATTGATTACCAACATGATGTACTCCCAGTCAGATTTATTGATTACCCTACTTGCCAACATGATGTACTCCCAGTCAGATTTATTGATTACCCTACTTGCCAACATGATGTACTCCCAGTCAGATTTATTGATTACCCTACTTGCCAACATGATGTACTCCCAGTCAGATTTATTGATTACCCTACTTGCCAACATGATGTACTCCCAGTCATATTTATTGATTACCAACATGATGTACTCCCAGTCAGATTTATTGATTACCCTACTTGCCAACATGATGTACTCCCAGTCATATTTATTGATTACCAACATGATGTACTCCCAGTCAGATTTATTGATTACCCTACTTGCCAACATGATGTACTCCCAGTCAGATTTATTGATTACCCTACTTACCAACATGATGTACTCCCAGTCAGATTTATTGATTACCCTACTTGCCAACATGATGTACTCCCAGTTAGATTTATTGATTACCCTACTTGCCAACATGATGTACTCCCAGTCAGATTTATTGATTACCAACATGATGTACTCCCAGTCAGATTTATTGATTACCCTACTTGCCAACATGATGTACTCCCAGTCAGATTTATTGATTACCAACATGATGTACTCCCAGTCAGATTTATTGATTATCCTACTTGCCAACATGATGTACTCCCAGTCAGATTTATTGAGTACCCTACTTGCCAACATGATGTACTCCCAGTCAGATTTATTGATTACCCTACTTGCCAACATGATGTTCTCCCAGTCAGATTTGCCAACATGATGTTCTCCCAGTCATATTTATTGATTACCAACATGATGTACTCCCAGTCAGATTTATTGATTACCCTACTTGCCAACATGATGTACTCCCAGTCAGATTTATTGATTACCCTACTTGCCAACATGATGTACTTCCAGTCAGATTTATTGATTACCCTACTTGCCAACATGATGTACTCCCAGTCATATTTATTGATTACCAACATGATGTACTCCCAGTCAGATTTATTGATTACCCTACTTGCCAACATGATGTACTCCCAGTTAGATTTATTGATTACCCTACTTGCCAACATGATGTACTCCCAGTCAGATTTATTGATTACCAACATGATGTACTCCCAGTCAGATTTATTGATTACCCTACTTGCCAACATGATGTACTCCCAGTCAGATTTATTGATTACCAACATGATGTACTCCCAGTCAGATTTATTGATTATCCTACTTGCCAACATGATGTACTCCCAGTCAGATTTATTGAGTACCCTACTTGCCAACATGATGTACTCCCAGTCAGATTTATTGATTACCCTACTTGCCAACATGATGTTCTCCCAGTCAGATTTGCCAACATGATGTTCTCCCAGTCAGATTTATTGATTACCCTAGTGGCGAGCTTTCTCCTGTTTGCTTTATGAAGTGACGCAGTGACAAAGAATAAATAGTAAGAGCTCATACCTGTATATTTTCTTGTTATTGAAATATCTAACATTGAGTTAGGGCCTTCCAATACTTGAAGGTATTGCATGAGAATATGTTAACACCATATAATGTCAAATTTATAATACTGCCAACATGAAATATTCAACATACTGCGTTTTATTTATTATCATCAGTCAGACTTAAATAAGTCCTGTAAATGTCCCATATCTCAACTATCTACTAAGAATATGCACATGTCAAAATAAAGAATCGACATAAAAACTACTTTAAATTCCAGAAATAGTTCATACTAATTAACCAAGTTAAACAATGGTTCGCCTTTATTGTAAACTTCTGCCTTTGTACGAAATATGGAAATATACCAAACTTATTTTATTTAGACACGAACATTATTAATTGTTAATGCTTACCCTCTGTTGCAAAATGACCAACATGTCAAGAAGAAATAATTACTAGTATGTTAACGTGCGACCTCGTGCAGATGACATTATTTCAACAAGAAAAGCATTGATGCAGAGCATCAAAGGGCGTCCAAGCAAGAAATGCAGCAAGTGAATATGAACTAATAGACATCTGATGACCAGATAATCTTATAAACTTTTCAATGGTTAATTGGTTTTAACCAGTATTGTATGTCATTTATGAATGGGTGGACGAAAGACATTGTTCATAATGAACTTTGGTAGGCATGCTAGAGATTTGAGTATTAAATGTTTTTTTCCACAGGAACTTAAATTCTGTTAATGTTAACGATAATATCTAAAATATACGGGTCAATGATATCCAAAATATACCCCCTATATGGTATAAGTTTATTTATACTATATATGGGTGTTTATGGATATTGTCATTAATATTGGTTATTTTATAGAATTTCAAGTTCATGTGGTATTTTCTTTGGAACATACAACATAATAGTCAAAATGAACAAAGTATGTTAATTGATTTATTTGGGAGGTCAATCTACTATTTTAATGACCTAGTCTGACCCATCAGTGTGTTTACATGCCTATCAATAAACCCATAACAACTCATGTTAAAATTGCAGACGAAGAATGATAATACTATGATAAAACAATTCGTAAAAATTGCCTACTTAAAGATTGCAATTAATTGTTTTAATATGTTTGCATTTCATTTCCTGCAAAATTCTCCAGTTCGTTGCGACACGAATGACCGTTTCGGTAAACTAAAACTACTTCTATAAATAGATTTTCGGACTTTCACAATGTTCAGGTCATCATTCTATTTATAGGTAAAGCAATAACACACATAATAACCCATTGTGTACTACAAAATGATTAATACATATACAAAAGAGCGCGATTAATTGACGGATAAGATAATTTCATTTCAATATGTTTACATTGCGAAATTATCCAGTTCGCTATTCATTTTACATATCGCGACATTTCATTTTTGATAATCAAACACTCATACCAATCGGAATGTTCGGCTATTATGCCCGACGAAAAGGCTCGAGAAGTTGCAAATGCCCTTTCACAAAATCTGATTTCATTCCATAAGAGCGTCGCGCTTCGGCGCGGAGCCAATAACGCGATGACAGTATGTAAAAAAGCCACTAGTCAAGTTGTCAATATAAGTCATACGTTTAAAGGGCCCCAGAGCTTCCGACGCCTTTGAAAGTATACACTGTTTTTTTTTAATGAATTATCTTTTCTTTTTCACCGCCGAAAATAACGTATAGCTGAAAGTTAGTTTTAATCTTGCGTATTCCTGTGCATTGCATTGGCAAGGTAATTTCTGTCAGTAGTTAGTGCCTGTGGCGTTATTTTTACGGTTGAAAATTATTTGAACTTACCTTCAAATTTTACATCAAAATAAAAAAATCCAGAGATAATAGTTCTTTCTTTAATAGAAAACAAAACTATACAAGGCGCTTTTCATTAATTGCTTGTGTTTTGATTTTTTCCCAGCTCCACATGGATTTAACATCATGATGTATTTCATGGACAAGTTCTCCATCGAGGAATCCGACGCATGTAGGTTTGACTACATTGAACTCCGGGATGGACCATTTGGCTATTCTAAGTTAATTGCAACATTTTGTGGCGAGGGTTTCCCGGAAACAATTCATACGACGTCGAGATTTCTCTGGGCGAGATTTGCGTCTGATCAGCTTGTACAGTTTGATGGTTTTAGAGCCGTGTACGAGTACAAAATTGACGAAGGTATAAATTCTATTTTAATTTAAATATTTTTTTACAATCTCATTTCAAATAACAGCGTATTTGCCATGGTAAAATGTGTCCGCAGTCTGATCAGGATCCATTCTGTTTGCTTACCAACTCTATAACAAGTAGAGAAACTGACAGCGAACAGCATGGATACTGATCAGACTGCGCGGATGTTTTAATATTACTTTATCTTTATAGCGATAATAATATTTAAAGCGACAAAAAATCATAATATTCTTTTTTCTGATTAAAATTGTAAAAATTAGAAACATTTTGTGTTTCTACCATTTCTTTAAAAATAAGAGATTCGTCTACGTGGAAATGTGTCTACATACATCTTTGTAGATGATGGTATCGTTTTCATTTAAAATTGATAAGTGGTTAATAACACAAGTATGATATGAAACTGTTTAACAGCCTTTAAAAGTATTAAAAATCTGTAAAATATTCTCATATTACTGCAACTATTTTCTTTCCACCGTCAAAATGCCAATTAAAATAACTTTTTTATCACGGAGAAGATTTTGAAGTGATTTTGAAGTATGATTTCTACTAAACTCTCAAACTGATGATAACACATTTTTCCTTCTTGCAAACAAGTTTTTTTTCTGGCATGTGCAATTAAAATAGTTCACTTTATCACAAAAGAACATCTGATTTGGTAAAACATTGACTCAAGTTACCAGTTACCTGGGAAGCGAAAGAAAAAAAAATAAGAAAAAAGATATTAAAAGATAAAATGATATTTCACAAAAAGAACATGGGGTAGTATTGCGCGCTGCAACACAGATGTAGCAGTATCCGACCGAGCATATTACTTTTTATTCACTTACAAAGATCAAAGGTTGTGATTAAAAAAAACACACACAGAAGTTGTAAAGATGTCATAGTGATATTAGCACTGTACTGATTGCGCTCACATAGCCTTACAAAACTGACGCTTTTCAACAAGTGTTAATCTTAAATGACTTCTCTTTATATTAAGACTTATCAGTTACGCAATATAACACTTAATTTACTGCTTCCCCTAAAGATAGAAAACATTAAGAAGGCAGCTTTTTTATTACCGTCTTGTTGCCCGTTTTGTAGAAAATGATTCATTTTGCAATTTAAAATACATTTAAAAAGCAGCGTTTATTCCTGGAAATAATGTTCTTTTTATCTACATCGACGGTTAATGTCTTTACAAAAATCATACATTAGTTTTACGATAATACAACATTTTGCCACAACGCATTCATCTTATTCTCACAAAAAGTGAAAACTCTACTTTTACTTGGTATTCGCTAATAAGTTTCATTAGTTTTTCATTGTAGAGTATGTCACTTGCATCAGTAGCAATTTTTCTTTTAAGGGAAACATTAAAAGAAAAGAAACGAGCAGCTTACTGAATTAGAATACTGAATATTTTATCAGTTTTTTAATTGATTTATTTGTGTATATATATATATATATATGTCATATTACAAAACAAATTAAGACAATTTATCACAGATATATCTATCACATTGTTTTTAACACAGTAATTAATTGAAAAATAATAACTTTACATTCATAATTAAATCAAAGATCTTGTTGACTTCAAAACAATATATACAACACAGGATAACCCATGAAAGTTCAATATAAAATAGAGAACTTATTTCCAATGGGGTCCTTTGATGGTAAAGAATATATTTTCTTGAGAACTGGCATTCAGGTCCATACTTAGAGATGATATACTGGACTGATGTTAAATTTCTAAGATCAAATAATATTAATTTCTATTGCACATTATGTTAATTACATATACCACATATTTGCAGGAATAATACTATGAATATGACTAGTTATCACACCAATGAAAGATATCTAGTTATATATATCACAAAACCAATCACAAGATACATTTATATAAAACATACTATATTGATTAAAACAATTATCTCTAAAACTAATAAAAAATAAAATCAGCTTGTTCAAATTGTTTCATATTTTTGCTTAGTTCAGCTTTTACTTTCTTTTTAAAGTTAAAAAAGTTACTTTCCTTTTTAATATCAAGTGGGAGCATGTTCCAATCCCTAATACCCTGGTAAAAATGTTCTTTTTGTAAAACTATTAACATGGGGTATATGAAAGTTCCCTACACTGATTCTACTATTATAACAATGAACATCAGACTTGAAAGAAAAGTTATCATACATATAAGAAGGACACTTTTTATTAAATATTTTGTGTACATGATTGAGTCTTAACTGTATGACTCTATTTTCTATATTAAGCCACCTAATACTGCTAAAATCAATAACCTTAAATGATTTTCTAGAGGAATAACCATGAATATAACGAACAACTTTGTTTTGTGCTACTTGAAGTTTATGTTTAAGTTGTTTAGTAAGGCCACTATACCAAGATGAGCTTGCATAATCGAAGTGACACTGTATTAAAGAGTTACATAATAGTTTTCTTAGCTCCATATTCAAACTGTTGCCTTGTCTATACAAAAATTTTAATCGAGAGTTTACTTTTTGTACTATATTATCAACAATAGAAGTGGCTGAGAGATCATTATCCAAGATAGAACCGAGATACTTTACTGATGGCTGAGATTGTATGGTGTGATTATTACAGTGCATTTTAAACTGCTCTAGTTTTGACAATTTCCTCTTAGAACTAAAAACAATACATTCTGTTTTACCAAGATGTAATGATAGCTTATTATCAACAAGCCATTTACTACAATTTTCTAGTTCCTTACCCAAAACATTACAAATAACATCTGGATCTTTATGTGAATATAAAATTGCACTATCATCTGCATAAAGAATAAGCTTACATTTTTTGCTAATACTAATACTCATATCATTGACATAACATAGAAACAATAGAGGACCCAATATACTTCCCTGAGGAACACCACATGTAATATTCATAGCTTCAGACATAGTATTATTTACATTTACAATTTGACTACGACCAGTTAAATAAGATTGAAACCATTCTACTGACTCCACACCCATTTTTTTTGTAACTTTCTACACAAGATGTCATGGTCCACAGTGTCAAACGCCTTTTGCAAATCTAACATAATCATACCGGTGAGCAGTCGTTGGAAGTTTGACTTTTTACATGGTCAGTGAGATGGATTAGGCAGGAGTCAGTAGAATAATTACATCTAAAACCACTTTGTAATTCAGTCAGTTAAGGGAAAAGAAAGAAAACAACAACAACACAAAAATGCAGCCAAATAGCAATAATACAAATAAACTGGAACCATTTCATTCATCCTATGCAATATGTCTATATGAAAAAAATGTTGCTCACGTCTAACTTCCAGATGAACATGCTTCTACGCCTTCACACCAGTAGCTACTCACACCAATCATGTGATGATGGTCTTATCAAATGATTGTGTAAAAATGGCGTAAACGCCAATGAAATCGTTGAACTGTAATAAACAGCGACATTAAAACTTGAACTCTGGTCTCAAATATATCGATATAATTTTTAAAAAAAATCATTTTTGTAAAGCGTAGAGTCGAAATTAATAATTACTTGAATGATTTCTCTTTCGAGAGGGGTCATTGTTTTGGAAATAAACGGTGCGGTATTAAAATTTTTAAAAATTATTTTCATAATATTCATGTTTCCAAAATTATTTTTTATTTTATTTCACATCTAACACCTATCGGTCTTTAAACTTTAGCATTTTAAAATAAATATAAAAATTGAAAAAATTCAGATCTAATCTTGTAAGGGGAGATCACTGCGTAGGAGATTGGCTTTTGCTAAGTATATATGTACATTTATAATACTGCACGTTTGTAACGTCGCTTTTCATTGGATAATCGTGACGTTTATATAATTTTACAAGTCTTCTATCGATTCATGAAGAAATCTTACTTTTTTCTTTAAAAAATTGATGCTTGCTATATTATAAATTCGTTATAAAGATTGTTGACCGGTTATACGGTCCTATATAAACGGCTGTTTGCAATATATTTACAAATAGCCGTTTATACAAGACCATATAACATACAAGAAAAGCATTGATGCAAAGCATCAAAGGGCGACGCCAAAAGAATTTGATCAAGATTTGCACCTAAATACTTAACAAAAGATGTGTACTTTATAGCAGTACCATTACATGTGACCTGGAGGCTAGGGCCAGGTTAAGTTGAAACTTAAACCAAAAAAGAATAGACTCTGTCTTGCCAAGATGCAAAGACAATTTATAGTCAATTAAGCAATCTTATAAGACTCATGTTATAAGAAAGAATTTCTTCAGATTTAATTTATGAGACACAAGGATTCCTGAGTCATCAGCATATAATCACTGGCACGAGTATCGGACCTGGGAAAAAAAAATATGACCAGATTGATAAAAAAACTGTGTTTATAAAAACCAAAACAAAAAATGTAAATAATGATCCCCTTTAAAAATATACTATCAACTTGAAGTATATTTTTAAAGGGGGTTATTATTTACATTTTATTTTGGTTGTTGACACTTTTAAGATGAACACAGGTTTTTTTATCAATCTGGCCATATTTTTTCATCCAAGGTCTGATACTCGTGCCTGTGCATTATAATAAAAGCTTATTGCTTAGGGTTGAAGACATGTAATTGACATATATTAGACATAAAAGAGGACCTAAAATGAACATCAGGGGGACAGCATAGGTACTCAGAGCAGTAGTAGAATAAGTACCAGCCACATCAATCAGCTACTATCAGAGATAAAACTTAAACCATGTAAGAATGTCATTATATATGGCAGATGCTTGAAGTTTCATGAAGAAGAAGAAAAACAACTTCTTCATGTGCAGGATAGTGTGTTCAACTGTATCAAATGCCCTTTGTAGATCTAAAAGTATCATGCAATACTGCCTTTGTCCATTTCAAATAATGCAATCTGTTAAATGAATCAAACATGTGTCAATTGAAAAACCACTTCTAAACCCTGACTGAAACTGCCTGACCATGACTCAAACCCATGACTTTCAGAAGACCAACTGAGCTATCCGTCCTGCTACACATTTTCTCTTTAATAATGAAACAGTTCTAAACCACAACATATTTCCCCACTATATCGATTTGTGTTCATGAATTTCTTATGTTACAGAGCATAGGAAATTGAACTCATGCTTATATGCAGTCATAGGATGAGAAAAACTTTGAGCTTGACCAGAACTCATTAACCTGTGACCAACATAAGAAATTTTATGAAGGCTGATTTGTAATTTTGCATCAAGGGCACCGGGCAAAAACATGAAAATGCAACAAACAAACCACTTTGTGGTAGATTGTATTTTCATGTTTTCATCTGGCGCCCAGTTACTTTTTGTACTATGTTGGTTTTCATGTGGCACAAATCACCCACTGTAAATTTAGTGCACAAATTTATTCAAGGGCAAGTAACAATCTACTCTATGTACAGTCTGTTGTCGCGTTGACTCAGGAGACCTGGAGGTTGAGACCGGTGTCTCTTCATTACAAAAAGATAAGACAGAAGCTGTCCTTTTCAAACTATGCACATGTTAGAAAAAAAATAGAATAACTATTCAGAATATGATTTTTTGAGACTTTATTAATTATATTGCTTGATCCAAGTTTAAGGACATTTTCAATCAATACATGTTTTATCATTTATAACTTTAAATGAAAGTCTCATCCCTTTAATAATAATGACATAACTGTATCTCTTTAAATGCAGAAAAATTATAAGTCTCAACATATCAATATACTTACTGTCTAAGATATGCATGTACATGCACATAACATTAATAATTCCCAGTTTATATTAAATAAATATGAAATCCTAACATTAACATTAACATGCTTTTGATGACCTTACAACTGGTGAATTATATACAACAAAAATAGTATTATAAGTAATACCTAAGATAGACAGAAAAGAACAAATAATTTAGTAAACATAAGTTACTTCCCCTTAAAATAAAGAAAACCTGAAACCCAAAAGAACACGATAAACAGCAAAATTATGAAATGTTGCAGGTTCAATTTTATCAAGCCATGCAAATTAATGGTAAAGTATTCATAAAAAAATAGATGGCCATGTGTCAGCAGTAATTGCAGAAAATCGGATAGCTTTCAACATCCGGATACTGGTACACTTTGTAAAAAACAACCATTCTGCGCAACAGATAAATGTAATAAGGATAAAATCAATAGGATAATCGTTTACAACAGTTCCATTACCTATCCTTATACTCAATTGCAGGTGAACTTTCTTCTTGTAGGAAAATTTTGAAAATGTATAAATGATACGGCCTCAATCTAGACCACAACGATATTCGAAATCCGGGTTTTAGTATTGTCATTAAAACTAAGGGACAAGCTGTTAAACTTAACCCGCAATTTCGTGAAAATAATATCACAATGCACATGCTTTTTACATAAAGTTATTAAATACAAATATAACAACACATTTGTTTACTTGATTTTTACGAATCAAAATAAAACTAATTTACACAACATGAAATTAACTGCTAATAATAACAGCTCCTTCCATAGGCAAAAATAAAAAGCGTTCCATAATAGACGACGCCGCTCACCGGCGTCGCCAATAACCTGTCAATAATCTTTATAACTAATAGTATATGGTATTTATAATCTTTTCATGTTGAAAAATCTATACAAAACTAGCAGAGCAAATTGAGCAATCATAATTATGATGAAAAAAGCTGTAAAATTTCTTTAGAGAGAAAATATAAACGAGTACTACTTCAATCCGTTAATCTGATGGGCGTGGTCGTCACATCATTATATATAGTTTCTTTGATTTTGTTCCGTGTTAATAACTTTACTTAACGCGTTTTATTAACAACATTTGAGTTTGAATAGGAAAGCAAGTGTTGTGAATATTGTAAAACCTGGGGCAAATTTTTTTTTCTAAAAGGTTTTTCTAAATTCAAAGTAATGTTATGGAAAAATGTGTGATAAGCGAAATTTAACTGTTCGATTTTTCAAGAATCAAATATCATCTGTCACTCACAGGATTTCGTGTTCTCGTTTATAATTTTTATAGCATAGAGGTGTATTAGTCCAACTAATTGTACTGCGCGACGAGATATTGTGCTATTTTCGCGTCTGGGCAATATCTCGCCTCTACTTGTATTAACTTCTACCAAAGTTAAAGCGAGATTCTGCCCCAGAACGAAAATATCTCAGAATCAAGCTTTGGCACCGTCAATATATTTTGACTAAGAGGTGTATCATTGATAAGTAAATGCATTATTTACTACATTTAATATTGCTTCAAAATCATATTTTTATTTACAGCACTGCTTTCTAAGTACATTAAATGTGCGATACATATTTTTGCAATTCCACATAAAAAACAGCTCTGAGTTTAAGTAAACAACGTTAAAACAGGAGCTTGTTTTAATGAGTATGAAATGAAAACCAGAACATGATGGTGTATGATTGTAATTACGAAAAGTGGTGAGTGAAATGTACCATGGGGAGATAACCTCCAATCATGTTTATTGACAACGCTGATTTGATTATAACACGTGCTAGCTACAATATGCACTGGCTAATGGAATCTACCTGATGAGTCAGTTCTTATAATTTAAAAACAGGAAAAAGAGAAAAATGTTTATTAACTCAGTTGATTAAGAGGAGTGGTACAAAAATCTTTAAAAAAAATACTAAATGTAACCCAAAGAAAAACATAATTTTACGATGTTTTCGGAGCGTGGAGTGCCATTGTATATGGATTGAAGCCTTATGAAAATATATTTTACCGAATATAATCATAAAATATGTCTTTTTCGTAAGGGACTAACGAAGGAAACTTTACTCTAAATGATATTTTGTTTTGATGTATTCAAAAGAGAAATTTTCAGACTTGTTATAAACTTCATTCCTGTTTTTAATGTTGTTACGTAAAACCAGTTAGTAGCGGAATTTGTAACAAAACACTCGAAATTCCATACGGAAACTGCCAGCAGTGGTGAAAGTTTCAAGTACTCTTACAAATTTGGCACGCAGTCTGTTTTTCATTAATTCTTCTGAATTAATTTATGTACAAAGTAGCAGTAAATCCTACATGTATATCCGACATTTTTAGTTGTTTTCGTTTTGTTTTTTGTTCCATTTATTAAAAACCTTTACTTTATACCAGATGCTGATACAATTATAGGTTATCATGATTGTTAACCTATTCTGTCAACACATTTATAAAGTGTTTATTTCCACGTTCCTACCTTTATACTTTTAATATAAACACCATGGAGACACATCCATCAAGAGGCCCTCCGCGGCGATAATTGTTTCTGCGACAATTGGTCCGGAAATATTAATTTTCCTCCTGTTTTTATCTTTCGAGGTATCGTTATCTGCAAAAATTACAGAGCCGTCATGAAATGCATTTATAGTTTAAAAAGAAACAGTAACTTGTTGGACAGCAAAAAATAGGTTTAGAATTTAAGATTGACATACCTATTATTTTATTTTTCCCCCTAACTTTTTTTAACGGATTTAGCAACAGGAGAGTATCATTACTCACTCTTGTTATAATACAAGCATTTATTAAGGGTTGTTGATATTCAGAAGTTTTATTCTTCATATTTTTCTGTGTCTGAAACTAATGATGAATAGCCTGAGTTTTTAAAAGAAACACACACATTGTTTTTGTAACGGCGACAATTTATTTAAACAATAACCTATTACTTTTGGTGCAGTTGTAAATTGTCTTATACATGTACTGGTAATTAAGTTTCGTCATTTCATTGTATCAAAGTTATATGGGAAGCTATGCTGTCTTCTCCTGCTGATTGTCTGACAAAAAATATATCCTTTCACAAAACAAAAACAAACATTGTAGTAATCAGAGTTGGACTGATGTCTTTGCTGCAAGGCAGAAAACATAATACGACAGCTCAACAGCTCACGTAGGATAGTTACTCATTTGTTAGATATCCATACATATTTTTCGTACAATTAGATATGCTGGCTAAAGTAAGTCAGAGCCGATAGGGTCTTACTTACATACTTAGTTTTCGTATACAGTTTCGTTATGCTTTTCACGTGCGAATGCGATGTCAATGCAGTCGGATTGTTTTTAGCAAGATTACGTTTTAAGTATTTCTCCTTTGATAGTTTGTGTATGCACATCTTAAACATATTGCTTTAATTATTTCAGACTACACACCCATGTCGTCTGTGGAGAAAGGTATGTAAAAACTTTGTTATCTTATAGATGTAATGATATTTTTCATTGATAAAAATATATATGGTTCATTATTAAATTTTTTATAAGATATATATGCATGTATACATCGATCATTGACATGGGAAATTATTGAAATTGAAAATCTTAACACAACCTTGCTCAATTTCTTTTAATTATAAATTGTTGTTATCATATATCTAAATAAAAATTGATAGCCATTGCAGATTTATCTAGATAACCGTAGCAGTTATATATAGATATAGTTAGATAACCATTGCTGTTATATGTAGAGATAGCTACGTAACCATTGCTATTATATATATAAATATAGCTAGATAATCATTGCAGATTTAGCTAGATAACTGTAGCAGTTATATTTAAATATAGATAAATAACTATTGCTGTTATATCTAGATATAGCTAGATAACCATTGCTGTTATATCTAGATCTAGCTAGATAACCATTACTGTTATATCTAGAGATAGCTAGATAACCATTGCTGTTATATCTAGATATAGCTAGATAACCATTGCTGTTATATCTAGATTTAGCTAGATAACCATTACTGTTATATCTAGAGATAGCTAGATAACCATTGCTGTAATATCTAGATATAGCTAGATAACCATTGCTGTTATATCTAGATATAGCTAGATAATCATTACTGTTATATCTAGAGATAGCTAGATAACCATTGCTGTTATATCTAGATATAGCTAGATAATCATTGCTGTTATATCTAGATTTAGCTAGATAACCATTGCTGTTATATTTAGAGATAACTAGATAACCATTGCTGTTATATCTAGATTTAGCTAGATAACCATTACTGTTATATCTAGAGATAGCTAGATAACCATTTCTGTTATATCTATATAGACTTGATAACCATTGCTGTTATATCTAGATATAGCTAGATAGCCATTGCTGATTTAGCTAGCTAACGTAGCAATTATATATAGAAATAACTAGATGACCATTGCTGTTATATCTAGAAGTAGCTAGAGAACCATTACTGTTATGTCTAGAGATATCTAGATAACCATTGCTGTTATATCTAGATAAAGCTAGATAACCATTACTGTTAATTTAGAGATAACTAGATAACCATTGCTGTTATATCTAGATAAAGCTAGATAATCATTACTGTTAATCTAGAGATAACTAGATAACCATTGCTGTTATATCGAGATATAGCTAGATAACAATTACTGTTATATCTAGATATAGCTATATAACCATTACTGTTATATCTAGAGATAGCTAGATAACCATCGCTGTTATATTTAGATATAGCTAGATAACCATTGCAGATTTAGCTAGATAACCGTAGCAGTTATATATACATATAGTAAGATAACCATTGCTGTTATATCTAGATATAGCTAGATAACCATTGCTGATTTAGTTACATAACTGTAGCAGTTATATATAAAATAACTAGATAACTTTTGCTGTAATATCTAGATATACCTAGATAACCATTGCAGAGTTAGCTAGATAACTGTAGCAGTTATATATAGAAATAACTAGATGACCATTACTGTTATATCTAGATTAACTAGATAACCATTGCTGATTTAGTTAGATAACTGTAGCATTTATATATAGAAATAACTAGATAAGCATTTCTGTTATATTTAGAGATAACTAGATAACCATTGCTGTTATACAGTATCTAGATTTAGCGAGATAACCATTGCTGTTATATCTAGATATAGCTAGATAACCATTGCTGTTATATCTAGATATAGCTAGATAACTATTGCTGTTATATCTAGAGATAGCTAGATAACCATCGCTGTTATATCTAGAGATAGCTAGATAACCTTTGCAGATTTAGCTAGATAACCGTAACAGTTATATATAGATAAAGTAAGATATCTATTGCTGTTATATCTAGCATAGCTAGATAACCATTACTGTTATATCTAGATATAGCTAGATAACCATTGCTGTTATATCTAGCGATAGCTTGATAACCATTGCTGATTTAGTTAGATAACTGTTGCAGTTATATATAAAATAACTAGATAACCATTGCTGTTATATCTAGATATACCTAGATAACCATTGCAGATTTAGCTAGATAACTGTAGCAGCTATATATAGAAATAACTAGATGACCATAACTGTTATATCTAGAGATAGCTAGATAACCATTGCTGATTTAGTTAGATAACTGTAGCAGTTATATATAAAATAACTAGATAACCATTGCTGTTATATCTAGTTATACATAGATAACCATTGCAGATTTAGCTAGATAACTGTCGCAGTTATATATAGAAATAACTAGATGTCCATTACTGTTATATCTAGATTAACTAGATAACTATTGCTGATTTAGTTAGATAACTGTAGCAGTTATATATAGAAAAAACTAGATAACCATTTCTGTTATAACTAGAGATAACTAGATAACCATTGCTGTTATATCTAGATATAGCGAGATAACCATTGCTGTTATATCTAGAGATAGCTAGATAACCATTGCTGTTATATCTAGATATAGCTAGATAACCATTGATGTGATATCTAGATTAAGCTAGATAACCATTGCTGTTATATCTAGATTTAGCTAGATAACCATTGCTGATTTAGTTAGATAACTGTAGCAGTTATATATAGAAATAACTAGATGACCATTACTGTTATATCTAAAGATAACTAGATAACCATTGCTGTTATATCTAGATATAGCTAGATGACCATTGCTGTTATATCTAGATAAAGCTAGATAACCATTACTGTTATATCTAGAGATAGCTAGATAACCATTGATGTTATATCTAGATTTAGCTAGATAACCATTGCTGTTATATCTAGATTTAGCTAGATAACCATTGCTGATTTAGTTAGATAACTGTAGCAGTTATATATAGAAATAACTAGATGACCATTACTGTTATATCTAAAGATAACTAGATAACCATTGCTGTTATATCTAGATATAGCTAGATGACCATTGCTGTTATATCTAGATAAAGCTAGATAACCATTACTGTTATATCTAGAGATAGCTAGATAACCATCGCTGTTATATCTAGATATAGCTAGATAACCATTGCTGTTATATATAGATAAAGCTAGATAACCATTACTGTTATAGATAGAAATAATTAGATAATCATTGCTGTTATATGTAGATATAGCTAGATAACCATTGCAGATTTAGCTAGATAACCGTAGCGGTTATATTTATATAGTGATAGCTAGATAACCATTACTGTTATATCTAGATAACCATTCCGGATATAAAGATATATCTAGATAACTATAACAGGTATATAAATGCATCTAGGTAATCATTGCTGTTATATAGATTACTATTGCTGATATATCTAGATAACTACTGCTGATATTTGCAAAAATATTTTTGCACGAAATTAGGATATGGAAAAACTTAAAAAAGAAACGGATTTAAAAATTATGTCAAGAAATGTTTAATTGGTAGAAGTTAATACAAGTAGAAGAGTTTAGTTTCTTTCACAATGAATTACATAGTTTACGCTCAATCGCTCATAAAGATCTTGTACTGAAAAGTATACCTCATACAAATTATTTAAAGGATTCTTTTTCTTATTTCAGTATTGACGTTTGGAATAAATTACCTATTACTATCAAACAATGTTCGACTTTACAATCTTTCAAAAACAACTGTAAAATTTATTTTCTAAGTTTACAGTTAGATACATGATGAAAATTGATCACTTTATATTTTAATTGTTGTAAATGTTGATATCATCATTTTTTTCTCTTTTTTTTTTAATCATTACGAGTTTATCTATAATTACCATAATTAATATGAGTGTCAGTCGGATGAATGAATAAAAATTATCTAACCTTTACATTATTTTTTTAATTTTTTATATATACCAAAATATATTTGTTTTTTTTTTAAATCTACATTTTTTCTTTGTTATTGTTAAATTAGAAGGCCATACTGAGAATAAGTGTACTTGTTACTGTAAACTTTGTATGTTACCTTCTATAAATAAAGATTTTATTATTATTATTATTATTATTATTATTATTATTATTATTATTATTATTATTATTATTATTATTATTATTATTAAGAGGTGGGATTGATATCTAAATTATTCTTAATCTTTAATCACCGTGAACACATGGTTCGGGTTATCTGATAGGTGACGTTCATCATTTTAGATATTTTGAAAGTTACGAAGCGTTAATAAAAAGTTTGCAACTAGAGGGTATATATCTTAATCATGAGTGAACATCTGCAGCGTTCTCTTACGATATAAATACATTTGATCCAAGGTAGTTTATCAAATTCATTTAAACATATCGTCAGTCGTATTATAATGTTAACCGTGAACCGTGAAATGATTTTTTTTTTGCTCAAAGCATTGTAGATGTCTATTGTATAGCTACCCTTGGACATTGGAAAAGAATTTCGAACGTAAACACATTCCTGGAATCATTTCAGTTTGCCGGATATACATGGACAATATGGCCCAAGATGGGGAGCTCAATTCCAAAGTGTTCCCATTAGCAGATACGTCACGTAGAGATTATCCAATCGCAGACCCTGTCGATTGCACGTGGGAAATGCTTGCTGACCGTGGACACATGGTAATAAATATTGATAAGGCTTATATGTCAAATCTGACCATGTTAACACACTTGCTGACGGCATATTGCTGCAGGAATGGCAGCGATGTAAAAATTACTGATATCTACAGGTGGGTTCTGGTTGGTATACTGATTTTACGCAAATAAGGACAATTTCTTTGAGATTGACCGGAGATACTCCTGAGTAGTTTTGTGGTTCGATGTTATAAAGAAATTTACCTAGCTCATACCTGGTACCATATAAAAGAGATCTTGATTTTCTGTCAGAATTTCATGACCTTTCTGTCATCATAGGCATCATCGAGAATACATTTTGCCTGAAACGGCAGCATTTTATCTTCGACCGGGATGCTCTTGAGGCTTGTTACATGTCCGAGAGAAGACACACTGAGCAGACATATGGCTTGCATGACCATCTGTAGCCCAAAATGTGTGCAACACAAAATCCCTTCACATATTCATTTATTTTCAAACCATAGATATTTTAAACAGGTTACTTGTAATCGGCTCAAAATATTTTATTTTTTTGAAGAAACGAGTCGAAATGTCTAGAGCCAATTGACAGTAATATACCAACCAAATTAGTAAATTTTAGATCTCTGTCATCACTGCATCAATATGTCATCACTGGCGCAGGTAATACGGTGTGTACAGTATATATTTAAACACTTCATCGGAACGTGAGTTTGTTTTAGCCAGCCCGCATAGCTCAGTCGGTTAGAGCACGAGACTTGTAATCTTTTGACATTGCTGAGTCGATTCCCGGGCTGGCCAACTAAAATTACTAATCAGTCTTTCGGACGAGTCTTTCGGATGAGACACTTTAAATCGAGGTCCCCGGTGTGAGTGCTTAAACACTTGGCACCCTAAAGAACCAGGAGAAGCTTCTGGAATTGGATCATCTTTCTGTATGTTGCACTATCCTCTAAAACTCTTATTGAGGACTCGGCCATATGGGCAACCGGTGGAGAGTATAAATAAACTCAATTACACACACGTGAATATTTTTATTGCTAATGCGCGAGCCATTCACGGTATATTTGCGCACCTTTTCAATATCCGGTTTTTTTTTTTTTTTTTTTTTCGTTTTAGTTTCGTTTTTTGTTTGTTTTTTCGTTTTGAAATTTTTTACGCTGATATGTCGTTACAAGAAATAACATTTGCTTCCAAATTATAATATAAAATCATTTTATTTTGAAATATGTCATTTACATTTCTTAAAATTCATGCAGACTTCAAGTAATAGACAGTACTCGTATACTGTAAAACTGAAGTTCGCTTGTTTGTAATGGTTAGTGTCGTGTTTGAAACGTCTACCAAAATTCAAAAGTGTGTTTACAAAAGCCTTGTACCGAAAGGCATAAATTTATATTAATATTTACAATTTTCATATCACATCGAGACAAAATTTTAATATCTTTTTTGTCGTACATATTGTCTGATCAATGTTTTTATTTTTAGATTTTGCTTACCGAGATTAAATTACACATGCTCAGAGAAGGACAGTGCAGCCGCAACAGAATCGAAATTTACGACAGAACTACCACAGAAGATGATCGAACTGGTGTTTACTGTGCCGGGCCTGTTCCGGAATACTGGTCAGAGTCGAATCGTGTATACTTGAGAATATTAGGCAGTAGACTGTCCGAGAAACCAGTTTTGTTTGCAAGATATACTGTTTATAGACCTGCAAGGAAGGAACAACGTGGTAATTTATGTTTGCCAAGTGTATTATATGTTTATGCTGTACCGCTTGTTCCCATCTTGTATTTAGGCTTACATATCCTTATCAAAATCTGTACTAAAATCGCGCATCTTATTGAAATGTTCCATACATCCACATTTGGAAGATATACATATATCTTACACCAAAATGCAGGATCTGAAGTGAGGTGCAATATTGACAAAATGGCTACCGAGCTATGAATATTTTATAACGCCCGCAGGTAATTGGGATTGTATGTTATTTTAAATATGTCCTCTCATTGAGGCAACGTTCATGACACACTCGGTTACTGGTTTCAGCTTCCTAACTTCTGATTTGACGAAGTTATTGAAGATATAAACAGGTCATATACATATTTTGTGGTTTGACAAGTGACTTTTTTTCTACTCATCTATTTACATATGTAAGTTGTTGAAGTTCATCAAACGAGACACAATATGTTTATGTCAGTACTGTAAAAATGTTTTAATTTGCATGTAAAAATACACAGACACTTGGGGTGTGGAGCTTTCCAAATAAAATTTATATTTGTCAATCCAAGCATATGTACTTTATCAACAAACTTAATATAAACCGTTTTGAAAAAAATCCACACCCCTATCCTCAAAATCACCATGTGTTCTATTCCAATTTTAATGTTTTCACATAATCCTTTTGTCTATCAACACAGAAGATAATTATTATTCTCCACGACGATGGTCAATTTAAAACTTCAACAACAATATAAACAACGCAACAGGCGAAATCAAAACTATCGCCGTTTTACTCGCCGTTGACAAATTCAAAATTGGTAACCAGTTTTACCGTATTCAAATGCACCGGGCTTTGAATATGGGAACCAACATATAACCGAATGGCTCCGACTATTGCAAGACTGGCAGCGCATTAGAGTAGCCAATTTTGAGCCAAGTTATTTGGTAGCCAAAGATATGAATTTTGAGCCAAAAGTAGGTCACTGTACGTTGGTCAATGAGAACCCAATCTAATCAAAACCAGCTCTTAATAACGCTCCGCTTTTAGATCTAACCGTGGCCAAATACGTAGTCATTCCTGATGTCCTTTCACACAGCCAATAACCGGCGAGCTTTCATAATTTTAATTTTAACCCTGGGAAAACCAATACTGAGTAGGAAATTTTCATGATTTCAAAAACAAACATGGTGCTGTCCCATATAGCCGACAGATAAACTGGCAAAACAAACTTGCCCATAGAAATGACTATTATTTCAAGTAAATTTGTTAAAAATTGCTTCAAACATTTTTTTTCTAACAAAAATCAACAATTTGTTAAACTTCCACGGATAACAGTATTTTGATACCTCTAATGCCATCTGTAAAAACCGGTTATATTGCATGGCTAAAAATAGCTTTCTCGGGAAATCCGAATTATTAAGAAGGCGAAACATATATGGTCGTCCTCATCTGAACTTTAGTCAAATAAATGAGAACCTAAATGCACAGTAACCTGAGAAAATATAAGAAAAGGAGGTAGCCCTTAAAACGGCTGTTGGTCAACTGGTGATTAGAAGCACGAGATATCGAACCACGTTTTACCCGAGAGATTTCCAATAATTTACTGCTGAATTCTGAATATCGTACAGTTTAGTTACAACTAAGGTTTTTCTATTGTACGTAAAACAAATACTTCAACTATGATAAATATGCAATGTATTTATAAAAAGAAGTAAAATAATACAATTATATAGAATTGTCAATGAAATATCTGTGACTATATGATCTTTGTTAAATATGTTGCAGTTTTATTTTTAATTCAATAATTATATGAATAAGTCGGCTGCCAGAATTGCTTGAAGTACAAGTTTGCTAGTACAAGATATTTTTGTGTATTTGAACTTCAAAAACTTTAAAAAAAAAATAAGATGTGAATAAATGAGTAGAGTCACTTGTCATATCACAATATATGTACATGACCTGTTTAAATATTCAATAACTTCGTCAAATTAGAAGCTGTATTTAGTAGAAAATTTAAACCAATAACCGAGTGTGTCATAACATGGCCTTAATGAATTGGCATATTAAAAATAATCAAAATACAAACCCACTTACCTGGAGAAAATACGTGAGGGCGTAAAATATTCATAGCTCTGTAGCCATTTTGTCAAGTTTTCAACCATTTCATATTCATAGCTCTGTAGCCATTTTGTCAAGTTTTCAACCATTTCATATTCATAGCTCTTTAGCCATTTTGTCAAGCTTTCAACCATTTCATGTGCATAGCTCTTTAGCCATTTTGTCAAGCTTTCATCCATTTCGTATTCATAGCTCTTTAGCCATTTTGTCAAGCTTTCGACCATTTCATATTCATAGCTCTTTAGCCATTTTGTCAAGTTTTCGACCATTTCATATTCATAGCTCTGTAGCCATTTTGTCAAGTTTTTTAACCATTTCATATTCATAGCTCTTTAGCCATTTGTCAAGTTTTCAACCATTACATATTCATAGCTCTTTAGCCATTTTGTCAAGCTTTCAACTATTTCATATTCATAGCTCTTTAGCCATTTTGTCAAGTTTTCAACGATTTCATATGCATAGCTCTTTAGCCATTTTGTCAAGCTTTCAACCATTTCATATCCATAGCTCGGTAGCCATTTTGTCAAATTTTTTACCATTTCACTCGCTTGAACCAAGTATCCTGTTATGACCGTCCAATTTACTCTGACAGTCTTGCTTTTAAAGTAGTCTTAGTTGTTTCAGTCAATCTTAGCAACTTTTGTACATGCTTTCTGTATAGAATAATCTAGTACATTTACAATAATTTAGCCCATGTACTAGCATAAGTATTTGCTCAACTGTAACGCAACGAATGACTGCTCCTTTTTCTTGTTGAAATGTAGTTGCATTAATTTAAAGTTTAATAAGAAATTTAATGGTCTTCTTCAGATTACAATAACATGCAATTTTTGTTTTCGCAGAGCCGTGCGATTCCAGTGAGTTTCATTGCGACGGTATGTGTCTCAGTCAGGCCTTGGTATGTAATGGACATAAGAACTGTCCTAAAAGTGGTTTAGACGAAAAAGGATGTGGAGCTGATGGTATATACTGCAACTTATCACATTAGTACATTATTGAATTTTGTCCCGATTATTAGGAGAATATGGAGAGCTTTGGTACAACACGGTGTCTGTGTCACTGTAACACTTTGGTGCATGTTGGTATCTCCAATATTACTGAAGCCAAGGGTATATATTGAAACATGATTGGCACAGGTTTCTAACTCTGAGTTACCTTTTAAACAGTTATGCCCTTTTCTTACTGTCAAACACTGAGAATAGTCGAGCGCACTGTCTTACGGACAGTTCTTGTTTATCTATTGCCATCTGATTTACAGTGTAAATATTCTAATATTCAAACAAATCGTTTTGATCCTTCAAAAATAACTATTTAAGTACCAGAAACTTAGAAGATACCTTGTGTAAACAGCTAGTGGCGGCATAGCCGAGTGTAGTGGCGGCATGGCCGAGTGAAGTGGCGGCATGGCCGAGTGGTTAACGCGTCGGACTAGTAATCTTATGATATCTAGCCGCATGAGTTCAAACCCCGTCAGGAGCAAGTGGTTGTTTCCTTGAGCAAGAAACTTTACACTCATTGCTCAGTACTGGTTGGTTCCAGGAACGGATTCGAAAGTGTGTCTATAAGCTTATAGCTTCCTACATAATCGAACTAAATGAATTCTGTAGAAACCAATAATGTTCAAACGAAACGAAGTAAACCATTTCGACATTTTTAAGGAATCGGGGGAGAAATCGTTTCTGTTTTTGGAAAATATAGGGTTTACAGCATGATTTACTCAAGAAATAAACTATTTTATCCAACTCCTCGCATTTTCCTCGCTCATAAGCATGGATTATACTATATTTTGTTAAAATTTGAAACTGGTGAAAGGGAAATAACCAGTGAAAAACTTAAGATTGGATATAATTACCTTTTATTGTTCATATCACGTGCGGCAGAAACATATGATTATTTCACGTTTCTCATTTCATTCTATCATTGAAAGGTGACTAACTTTAAGTTTCCTTATTGTTTTAATATCGTACTTATTTCAGAGGCGTCAAATTCCGAGTCTCAAACGATTCCATTGATCGTTTTTATTCTTGCTGGCGTTGGTGGACTAATTCTCGTTATTGTAATTATTGGTATTTGTGTAACTTGTCGATACAAACGAGGTCAAAAGAAACGGAAGGGAGTTCAGAGACAAGACAGTCAGAAACGAAATGCTTTGGAAATGGCAGTTAGTGACAGCACTAACACAGCGCATCAACTAGCCAAACAGAATAATCAAGGTAGTTACTACTCCCTGCCTCGACCTTCAGGACATGCAACCATGATGCAGCACAGAGGTAGCTTCTCTAGCAAAGTTCCATCGGAAGGCGATTACGGAGATCACATGTCTGATTCGAGCGCCTATAAGAAGTTTCTACAGTTAGAGCAAAACATTGATGATGATTCAAGCCGCTGTCCATCACCTTACAGTCCAGGGTTTACAACAATTATTGAGCAACATCCTGTCCCACCAGGAATGACACCTGACCTCGGCTGGAACTACCAAGGTGATATTTCAGGTGTCCCCAGCCTGGCAGAGAACTTGTCCAAATTACAGCAATACACTAATTTTAGCAGTAGCTTGCCGAAAACGATTCCTGTCCAACAAGGAGGCGATCATCCGAATACAGGTATGACAATGGAGTTTAGATACGACCCATCACCAACCGTATATCCGGCGTCTAAATTTAGAATTAAGTCTCCTGAATTAAGCTACGGTTGGAATCCAGATAATAAAACTGGAAGTCCAGCAGCTAAATCTCTCACATTCAAAAACCAAGACGCTGATGTGGCGCCAGATCTCACGCGAGAGATTGAAACAACATGATGATATCATTTTTAAAAAAATAAACACTGTTAGTAAATTTGCAGCAATTGGGGTGTTCGAAAACAAAGGGATCAAATACTTAAATGTGACATGCGAAATGTCTGCGCTCAAGGATTCAAATTCACAACATCACTTGAGATATATGTGATAATTGTATCAATAATAAAAGTGAAGCATAACACCCATGTTATGTTAAAGTCAAAAGGAAAGACTGCTGAGAATAATGTGGGAAAAGATAAAATGATGGATGTTTCATGCACTTTGATGTGTGTTATGTTGCTTAAAACTGATGAAACTAGTGAGTGAACCTTTATGGTTATCAGTGTTGCAGAACGGATGATTTGTGACAAGATTTTGATTTCGTTTCTTTTCTAGATAGTTTGTACATATTTGTGTAATAATTACACAATATAACTTATCCTATGCTTTTGTTGCAGAATGCTTTTTGCGAAAATCGACCTGCTATTTACCAAGGTTGATAACATAGTTAAAATGAAGTAAAAATGACACAAACCCAAAATGACTCTTACAAACTTCGTGAAAACGAGATTTCGTAAAGACGACACTATGTATTACAGATCTTGTATATTTGCGTTTTAGCTCACTATCTACATGTAGTACCAAAATCAGTACGGTCACAATACGCTGCTGCACCCGCAATGTGCAACGTGTTAGAATCGAAATGATATGTTTTGTGAGATATTATAGCATTTATAAAAACCTGTCGTCGGTTATTTGTATCAATTTAAAGGGTGTTAAAAGTAAAGCTATATATGGTCAAAAATAACTAATTCAAAACTGTACACTCACGTTGTTCGCACATGCTCGAGTTGACACAGATGATTCATACATAAAACAGAAAAAAAATCCCATGCCAAATATGATTCAACTAGTATGTCACTAATTCTTTGTAATCATTCACTGAAGCCTTTCGCCCTCTTCGTGATAATGTTACTGCACATTTGAACTCGAATCGTGTATCATTCTACGGAAAGCACTATTTCCTCCGATGTACAGTTATTTACTATTTTTATACAGTTTGTATAAATTTAAAGTGAATTAGTCTATAATTAAAGGTCTGTAGTACAATTAATAATTACTTTGATAGTATTTAGTATAAGACATTACAACAAATCACGAAATAATTATATATGGATGTTCTTGGCAATTGTGAGATACATGTTCCGATATTACATATATTTATATAGCATATAATAAAGTGTTCTAGAACAAAATATTATTATTTATCATATAAATGTAAATCATTTAGAACTATAATATGTTATATCTTTCAAAGAATATTTCATAAGACTATACAAATGATACATTTCTATTGTTTATATCAGTATTTGAAATGTTAACGGAAAATGTGCCCATTATAGATCAAAAAACAAATGTTTGTGAATGGCTGGAAATTATTGTTTCACCAAATATAAAATATATATGCTGAAATTTCAATTTTGACCATTTTTTGTATCATACTGTATAACCAAATCTAATATATGCATCTATAGTGTGAACAGTGACTATGACTATCAAAACTTGCGGCACCAATTTCGTTGCAACAAATCTATTTTATATCAGGACGTGTTAAAGTCTTGATAAGAATATTTTAACATCATTATACTAATTTGAATTTATTGGTGCACTAAATGTGTGTATTAGCTTGTTTATATGTTGTTTATTTTTGTAAATTGAACATAGTAGATTATGTAGTAAATCAATATTATATATATTTTTAAAATGTGTTTGTATATTGTGTTATAAATTGGTATAAGATTAATAGTTCTTGCTTGTACTTTGCTATATAACTGTTATTATTAGACACCGCTAGACGCCGCGCGCATGCGACGTCTAGTAGATATGCATTTGTCCATATAGCAATGGGGAAAATTTTAGATTTGATTTTGTGTATTTTTGTTTTGTTTTAACAAATCACACTGTTTTCAAATTTTCTAATAAAAATAGCTTTTCTGATGTACAACATGTCACAGAGCTTTAAGGGGATTAGAATAAACGTTTAACTGAAGTGATAGTGCCATGTTTGAATATCATATTCTTTTTATCATTATCTAATTTTATCTACCTAATAAATAACGTGCCAATAAGCCAGTCTATAGTCGATTGTGAGAGAGGAAACGACTAAGGCAGTGCCACTCACTTCATTTGCTCCGCCTCTGTTGAAGTTCGGCTCCGCCTTAAATTGTCGCCAAATTTAATATGATGCTCCGTATGCTAGCATTTAGTCTTCGTTGACTAAGGGAACCAGGAATGACAACTTTGATCAATATCACTTGTCGATTCATTAAATTACAAGTTATAAAGCCTAAACCACGACCACTATCAGAGAGGGCAGGCGGTTATCCCTCAACCGTTAAGAAAGTACGCCATACTCTGCGCACCGTTACACTACGGCCAGTAAGGGGAGACCACCGCAGAACAGCTCGTCCTCAAAATCATTCGAACATCATGCAATTCGCACCAATATTTAAATGGACATATTCTCGGCACATATTGTCTTGAATTTATTTTAAGTATACCAATCATTTCAATTTTACTTGTTATCCAATGTATTTTGCTTTGACCAGACGTTTCAATATTTGTCGCAACAGACAGACATTTCAGACATGACATTACTATGTGAATTTATGCATTAGGTTCTACTTTTACACAAAAATATGCAAATTAATTATAAAACAACGAGCATATACCAAGAACATTGAGAAAAAATTGATTTGTGCTTCGGATATTCAACTGTAATAGAAAACGATTTTCAATGCTGATTGACTGTTCACATCATTTGTCGGTGTCTTTGATGTGCAGCATCAACATTTAACTTGGTGTTAAGAAATTCAAGTATCAAGGAAATCTAACAATAGCCACCGCCGAGCAAGGGCTACGCTCGACGTTTTCTTATTTCCAAAGTTAAACACATCAAAGGTAGAATTTTACAAGATGACCGAATATTTTCCACCACCACCTTAAGAATTTGGGGACGGACAATAATGTACATATATATTTATAGGATAAATATATATAAGACAGAAAAATAAAGGTAAAATGATCAGTAAAACGAGTAAATTATAATGCCTAGCTTTGTTTTTGCTTAAAAAATTATTCTTTATTGATACTGCAAATTCAACACAGGGCGAGGGGGTTGCGAATTTCGCTCTTCATATTTCTGGGGGGGGGGGGATTTTCGCCATTCCAAAACAGACAAAGGGGTGGGTGGTGCTTTTTAATAACAGCACTGAAGTGAGGTACCGGGCAACTTTTTACGGCTGCCACACAACACTTGACACCTGCTGTTGTGATGTATAACTAGAACTACGCGAGTCGTATGTGTTGCCTTGTGAACAAAATAGTTTAGGAGAATTTATGGCCAGGAAAAAAATGAAGAAAATAAAGAAGTGCAGAGTACCAATTTTTGTAACCTGCATTTTTCTTAATGAGATCTATCATCCTATGAAGTTTAAAGACCATACGGAAGCGTCCTGGTGCCAATTTAACATGTTCTATAAAAAAAAAAGATAACTCCTACGGAGGAGATAAAAAGAACCTAATTAGGAGTTTATAACTCCTACGTAGGACTTTTAAACTCCCACGTAGGACTTTATAAGTCCTATGTAGGAGATAAAAAAGCCTGATTAGGAGTTTAAAACTCTTACGTAGGACTTTTAAACTCCTACGTAGGACTTTTTAACTCCTACGTAGGACTTTATAACTCCTACGTAGGACTTTATAACTCCTACGTAGGACTTTTTAACTCCTACGTAGGACTTTGTAAGTCCTACGTAGGACTTTGTAACTCCTTCGTAGGAGATAAAAAAGCCTAATTAGGAGTTTATAACTCCTACGTAGGACTTTATAACTCCTACGTAGAAGAACACTTATGACTTTACAATTCTAGAATACGCCGATGTTGTTTACACTAATTGTACTCAATATGAAAAAGATGAACTCGATAAAATCCAGCATGAAGCTTCAAGAATTGTCTCTGGTGTTACCAAACTTGTGTCCATTCATCAGCCCCATCGAGAGGTCTCTTGGGAATCTTTAGACAGTAGAAGAAAGAAACATAAATTAATTCTTGTTTATATAATGAAAAATCTCCTGACTACCTATCAAGTCTTGTCCCTCCCTCTGTAGGTGACACCTCGCGTTATAATTTACGAAATTCGAACGATATACAAGGGATACATACAAGACCTTCTCTATACTATAATGCTTTTCTTCCCTCAGCTCTCAGAGAATGGAATGAACTTCCAGATGATATACAAAATGCCCCTTCGTTATCTTCTTTCAAGTGTCTATTGAATAGAAATATTAAAAAGTGTCCAAAATATTTCTATACAGGTATCAGAAAATGGCAAATATACCATGCACGTCTACGAACAGAGTGTAGTTCTCTTAACCACCATCTTTTCAGAAAAAATATTGTAAACACACCTTTATGCCAATGTGGACTTCCAGAAACTAACCATCATTTTTTCTTTGAATGCAAACAATACACTTCTATCAGAGACAGACTTTTTCAAACACTTTCAGATTACTGTAATGTAACTCTCAACACACTACTTAACGGCGACACAAACTTAAGTGACAACATCAACATCAATATATTTCAGGCAGTTCAAATATATATCCGAGATAGCAAACGATTTCCATAGTCTATGCTACATCTACTGCTCCTCCAGTTTACTTACCGAATAGATTTTCCTCTCTCTTTTTTCCACTTTTTATTACGTTATGCTTCTTTTCTATCTCAAGTCCCTGTTTCTACTCCTTTCAGGTATAAACACATATATATGTTTTTGTTTCGTAGGTCATTATCTTATCTGTTTTACTTCTTCATGTTTCTTTAATCTACTAGTATTAATAATTATTTTCTCTTCTTATTCAATATTTCAAACATTTTCAAACCCGTCTTATTTCTAGTAATTAATTGTATGTTAGGAAAAGGCCTATATAAGCATTTATGCTTTCGGATCTGATCCTTTTTCAGCATTGTATTTTGATATTCAATATTGTATGATAAATTTGTTTGTACAAAATGTTCGAAATAAAATATGTTTAAACCAAAACTCCTAATTAGGTTTTTAATCAACTACGTAGGAGTTATAAAGTCCTACGTAGGACTTTATAAGTGTTCTTCTACGTAGGAGTTATAAAGTCCTACGTAGGACTTATAAAGTCCTACGTAGGAGTTATAAACTCCTAATTAGGCTTTTTTAACTCCTACGTAGGAGTTTTAAAGTCCTACGTAGGAGTAACAAAGTCCTACGTAGGAGTTTTCTTTTTTTATAGAACATGTTAAATTGGCACCAGGACGCTTCCGTAGAAATGGCCTGGACAAAAATAAAGTATGAAAATTAACAACGGGCAAAAACTCAAAAACTAAGAAATGCAGAGTACCGGTTCTTGAGCATAGGACTTTTTCTTAATGAGATCTATCATCCTATGAAGTTTCATGTCCATAGCTGATATACTTTAGGAGAAGTTGCCTGGACAAAAATAAATTATGAATATAACCAAAGGGCAATAACTCAAAAACTAAGATATGCAGAGTATCGGTTCTTGCGCACTGCACTGCTTCATGAGATCTAGCATCCTATGAAGTTTAAAGACTATAGCTTTTATACTTTAGGAGAAATGGCCTGGAAAAAAATAAAGTATGAAAATTAATAAAGGGCAAGAACTCAACAACAAAAAAAGAAATGCAGAGTACCAGTTCTTGTGAACTGCTCTTCTTCTTAATGAGATCTATCATCCTATGAAGTTTCATGTCCATAGCTTTTATACTTTAGGAGAAATGGCCTGGACAAAAATAAAGTATGAAAATTAACAAAGGGCAATAACTCAAAAACTTAGAAATGCAGAGTATCGGTTCTTGTGCATAGGACTTCTTAATGAGATCTATCATCCTATGAAGTTTCATGTCCATAGCTTTTATACTTTAGGAGAAACGGCCTGGACAAAAATAAAGTATGAAAATTAACAAAGGGCAATAACTCAAAAATTAATAAATGCATAGAGCCAGTTCTTACGCACTGCACTTCTTCTTAATGAGAACTATCATCATATGAAGTTTAAAGACTATAGCTTTTGTACTTTAGGGGAAATGGCCCGGACAAAAATAAAGTATGAAAATTAACAAAGGGCAATAACTCAAAAATTAAGAAGTACAGAGTACATGCACCGGTTCTTGTGCACTGCACTTCGGGTCATTATAACAAGCATGCATACCAAGTTTGAAGTCAATCCGACTTATAATGACTGACTTATGCTCAGGACAAGCTTAAGGGGACGCGGACGACGCCGACACAGACGCCGACAACGACGCCGCCGACAAAAGTAACCCCTATATGTCGCCTTTTTTTAAGGCGACACAAAAACTGGTAAAAAGTGTTCCCTCGGAAGCATTAAAAACAGCAAAATAACATGAAAATTGCAGACTCGGATTGATTGAGTCTGTGCATAAGGGATAATGAAAAGATACAACATCCCTCAGACCCCCTAGCACCGGCTTGAGCGCAACACTTAAAAGTGCTTGAATTAATGATCTTGAAGCACTAGAAAAAATAACAACACTGAAGTGAAGTACGGGGCATGTTTTTACGGCTGGCACCTGCTGTTGTGATGTATAATATCTGGTAAAACAGTGATCACTCGGAAGCATTTTAAGTCTTGTTTGTATTGGAATTACTTTCCTCACCATGTATGCATTAGTTTATGTCGCCTTGAAAAAGGCGAACTATAGGAGTTACTTTTGTCGGCGGGCGTCGTTGTCGGCGGGCGTCGTTGTCGGCGTCCCCTAAAGCTTGTCCGGAGCATAACTCAGTCACTATAAGTCAGATTGACGCCAAACTTTTTTGTTCATGCTTCTTTCATTGACTCGAAGTGCAGTGCACAAGAATCGTTACTCTGCGCTTCCCAATTTTGAGTTATTGCCTTTTATTACATGCTTTTCGGTGGTTTATAGAAATATATCAGTGATATAAAACTGGTAATTTCACTGTTTGAAACAGT